GGTGTTACATGCTCGGACCTGTAAACGTACTTTATATGGCACAGGGATATAGCGTGACCGAGTCATTTGGTAGTCCAATAGCTTTACGCTATCTCTCTCAATGGCGTAAACGAAACGGGTTCACGGGTTCACTCATTGTCCCACTTACACAACAGCTTCCCAAGGGCATGTGTATTCATAAGTACGAAAACAATTCTACCTACTAATCAGATTCTAACAGTCTGTTTACTGTATTACTGTGAGAATTTGTGCTGCTATTCAACAGCCGTTATTAGTATTTGTCGGACCTCGCAGTGTGAAACTGCAAAAGTTTCAAAGAAGTTATCACTCGTAAGTTTAGTAATTTTTCCTTCCTTAATTGATTCCAATTCGCTCATACGGAGATCATTTCTGCCTGATTTCTTCATCTGACCATGACAGAAGTTTCTGGCTACTGCTCATGCTTGTCAGGCGTTTCGAGCGCAACGAAAATCTGATTTTCGAGGGAATTGTAGCTGACGGTTCTGTGCGGCTCGGCGGATTTTTCAGTGAGCTCGGGACAGAGGAACCTCTTCTCCCGCGGTTTCCTCTTCCCGCTTAGCGCTTCCGCTGTCCTCGAGCTATATCTTAGGTGCAGCTGGTTCCTTCTAATGTGTTCCTGACACGGTGGGTAAACGAATGCTGAATTTCTTGACTAATTCTCTCATCTTGAATATTTACCGTTTCAGGTAGTTCGTGCACTTGAGTATGTCATGCAACGAATTACTCCTTCAAGACCAGTTCTACAGCGTATTGCAGTGCCACCTTGGGCGTAGCGGCCTGGGAACTGGGCAGTTCTGCAGGACACTGCTCCATGGAATATATGCACTTGCAGTGCCAGATGCATATTTTTTTATACCTTCGGCGCACGAACAGTTTATTATGCATGTGCGTTAGCTTACCAACTCCTAAAACACCTTTTGTGATGAGCACAAGGTTGCTCTGCAGGTGCTTAAGTACCAATGAGCCTTAGCTCCCTAAATGGCTCCCATTGGTGACGAAGAGTAAGGTAGCAGTACAAAAGACCGCGAATTCTGGAGAAGTCATTGGTAAATACCCATAATGTCTCGAAAACAAAAAAGTAGCAGATGTTTTGATCGTCACATTGCTCTCGGCGATGGCCTTAAAAATATTTATTGGCTTATCTTACTGAAGTTCTCGTCATTCTCGTTACAGTATTTAAAAAGGTGCTCTGTAGATGAACCTGTGGCGATATTTCAGCCAATATCTTTCAGTGATTCAGATTTGTGGTAACTGCATATGAGAATGCGACGTTTCACTGATATAAGCCGTAAATGTCATATAAGCGCAGTTATATGCATGAACCATTTGAAAACAAGAAGTTACTGGATTGTGCCATATACCTTCTTCTTGTTCTGCATTTGTAGACGATGTTTTCGTTCTCTTCGATGCCGTCGAGAAGAACTAGCCATCGGTTTTTACTTGCATGATCCAACGATTTCACTGACAGTGTAAAATCACTTGTTGATCAAGGAATAATGCTGTGTCGCCAGAATTAGTGTATCTTTTGGTTCAGTATATGAACTATTGATTGACCGAAGATCCAGATCTATTTATTGGGACATTTCTTCTTCTCAGGTCGTTCAAGCCACCGAATCGAATTAAGAAATATCATTAGGAGCAGCCAATTTCGTGCGATGATAACTGACGTCAGGAACGAAATGTCAAAGGCGAAATTGACCGTTTAATGAAGACGCTTATTCATGCAACTGCCACATGGGAGTTCTATAAAATGAGTTCTGCTTCCTACCAAGTCAGAAACGAAATTGCCTCAGTGCTGTTATCAGGTTCAAGCGAAGTACTTTAATTCGAAACCATCATAGAACTTGGCAGTAAAACAAATGGAAAGTGAAATGCTTCATGTGGTACTGTTGCGGGTTGCGCTGCAGCAAGGCGTTGCAGAAGGAACTTTTAATATGGCTTCTTTGTCTGTAACCATGGATCAAGATGGAGAAATGGAATTATTAATGTGGATGCTATCGAGAAGAGCCTATAGAATGCTGTGCACCATATTGGACCTGCTGCAGGTGATGTTCCTCCGGACGGTCATAATGTGGCCATTGCAGCATTGAATTCTCTCGTTTTTGGCGCGGATTGTGGATGGTGCATCTTGGTAATAAAATTTTCCATCGTAGCTCTGGGTGCTGGTCGTCATCTCTCCGTGACGACTAGTCAGATGGTACCTTCTTCGGACGATCGATGGCTTGGACTGTTTCTGACAGGATTCCA